TTTTAGTTGGCTCATCATACCCTCAGTTTTATTCAAAAAAGGTTATTCTCACTTTTTTTTGTGTATTTGTCATTTTTAAGTGTTCTGGCACTTTTTTTTTTTTTTTTTGAGTTTTTATATAGAACTTATATAAGACGGGCAGTAAAGTAAAATTGAGAGAGAGAGAGAGAATTAATGCAAGAAAATGAGGGAGCAAAAGTAGTTGAAATGCCGTTTTAAGATGTCTAAAGATTGCCTCCGGTGGTTCAGAGATTGATTAGCCAAGGTTCCCAGCTACCAGCAATGGCAAACGTGAAGAATTTATTTCCACAACCTGCCCACGACCGAGTTGCATCAGTGGGGACAGGTGGAAAGTCAACTCCGACAGCCCTTAACCGGAATAATGCTATTTAGCACTAGTTTAGGTGACTATACTTCATAGGTTCAATTAAATGAATTATGTGACATTACATTTAAATGAATCTATAATTTAATGTCATATAATTGCCACTAAACAATATCTTTTGCCACCATGTGGAGGTTGAAGCTGTTGACAAGCCTGATGCCATAGAAGGCGAAGTTGGATCAACATGGTGGCGCCGCCTTGGCCATTGAACTCCAGGTGTGGTCTACAGTCCCCTGTTGGACAATAGAAGCGACCATTGGTGTAGGTGCAAACATGTTTGTGTGTATATATAATAATTCTTTTATTTGTCCAACATAATCAGACCTATTGCCAAGATTAATATGACGTCAACAACTACATCAAGGACCAAAACCGGCTATAATCTCCGCTTTGCCACTATTTTGCAGGATTTCTAATATGTGAGAATTGAGCAAAAGCTAGAGCTATTTATGAGCAAATGAACAAGTTATAGTGCATGATACACCAGTCAATATTTTCTATAGTCTAGCAGCAAGGAGTTTTTGCTTAAGCAGAGGCCTGATATACTCGTGATAGCCATCAGGTATATCTGATTCATTTAGAGGATCCTTCCATGCTGCCTCGTAAAGTTTTGGATAGACATTTCCATCATAACGGCCGAGAATTGATCCTAGGTAGTGGTCGGTATAGTTGAATGCATCAACAAGAGCTATAGCATTTGGACGAACCTGAAAAATAAATCATGAGTTGAAAAATATGAATTTATTGTTTTCCAGGATCCCACAACTAGAAATTGGAAAAAGGTTTTGCTATATGTACACCGGCGTACGTCCCCCCTCACAATAGGTGGGCCAATGAATTTTTGAATGGATGTGGGCCCCCCTCTTTTGTGAGCGGGGTGTACACCGGGTACAAATAGAAAAACCCATTGGAAAAATGCAATGTCGGACACTGTAATGCCTCCGTTGTAGCAATTTGAAACGGAGCATTTTAATCCTCAAGCTTTCGGTTTAGTTGCAGCAGTGGTCCTCTGGATGGTTTCTATACCTTTTCGTATCTTTTCCTTTTACTTCTTTGTTATTGGAAGTAAGGGTGAATTGCATTTTCTACGTTTGTCGACATTCTAGAACTTCTGCAACTAAACTACTAGGTCGAGGATTAAAATCATCTATTTTCATAATTCGGGACTATGTTACTACAAGCGCTAATGCTGCAATTTTCACAGTGAAATTTAATTACAAACCTGCGAATACAAGGATCTGAGCTGATCGTTAACAAGTGAAGCCTGCTTCGGAGTTATGCAGCTTGTAGCAATGAAATCACCCTGGTGCTTGTGAAGGAGGAATAGGTAATAGATACCACATAGCACCTCTAATTGTTTCTTGACCCCTTTACCGGGAATGTCTTGTTGCAGCTTTTCAATAAACCTACATAAGAAGGAAGTCTTCTTAACATTCTATAGCAAAATATCGAGAATATGAGAGCAGGCTCAGCATTCCACACTATTTTAACCACTCTTTATTTCACCACCT